TCAGAAGGAGAGCATTTTTGGAGAGTCTACTAGGTAACACATGCTTTATTTTTTTCAGGCTCGGATCTCAGAACTGAATGGTACAGAGCTTCTGAAACCACTTATGGAAACTTAAAGGTGACTGTATTAAAAAGTGAAGCTAATATACAGAGAAGAAGAGAGTCAAGTAGTAGTGGATAGATAGGGAACATCTGGTGACATCATTGAGTTCTTTCAAACCTTAAGACAAATCTGAGAAAGTTGGTTTTTTATTTTGCTTAAACAATTTTGCTTAAACAAATTTCTATTGGATTTTCTCTATCTTAAATTTAAACAAAGCTTAACTAATGCACCTTACCAGTGATTTGAGTCCTGACTGAGAGTTTTTAAGCTAATGGCTAAGCTTAGCTACTTGCAGGCTTGCTTGATACCATCCGTGTTCTGTGTCTCTGATCGTCTCCATCCACTTTCATATTTTCTATGCAGGGTTCATCTCTGTTGAGACATCCTGATATTTCATATTCAACCAAGATACTCTTTTATAATCTGGATGAAATCCTAAGATTTAGTAACTACATTGCTCCCTATGAGTATTTTAGGAAGGCATAATGACTTCACAAATAAATTCTCTCTTCAATAACTCAAAGTATGGAGGCTTTGAGGAACTTCACGTAACTAACCCTGAGATACATAAATATACTAAGGTCAGTGACTCATTAGTTTTTTCTTTTTCTATTGTGGAAGTCATTATATCATTTTACTTTCTTTGATGGTAACCTTTATGACATTCTACTTGGCTGGCAGGCAACAGAGTAACTGCTCTTAAATGGAAGAGACGATGAAAGAGATTTCTGTAATAAATTTTACTATAATAGGATCAGAATGGCAAGGAGGGCAGAGGAGTCAGAGGCAAGGCACTTCCATGCTTCTCATTGCCTATAGGTAAGTATCTCATGATTTTCTGATAAATTAAAGATGACCTGAGAAGTGGGATTTAAACAAAGCATATTGATGTCAGAAAACTCTTGAGATTCGAGTCATATGATGAATAAAGACAAGATTAGGGATCTTCTTTTATAAACCATGAACTGTGTGAGATTGGGATTGGTTCTGGATGTTGTACTAAGGCTCGATATATGTTCTATACTCAAGGACAACCTTAAACCTTATAGGAATACTAAAATTCCCTGTAGGAATCTGCCTGGGGGGGCACACCTTATCAACAAGGGTACCTGCACAATGAATATTTGTATACCTAACCCTGAATTGTACCCCACAATTTTAAAATAAAATAAAATTAAAAATATATATATATTTTGTGACATGGAAAAAAAAATTCCCCGTGGAAACAGTCCATTCTACTCCTTGTGGTAAACAGTGTCTCTTTTAATTCTAGTTAGACCATTTGAATTAGAATGGTCTTTCCCCAAACTCTTCCTTTTTATGGTTCATTCTATGCTGTGGAGATACAGAGGCCTCATGGGTTAAAACAAAATAAAACAAGACAAAAACTTCACAGAAAACTGATAAGCAACTGAAGTCCTCTCCATTCCATGATATTCTCTTTTCTTGATTGCTCCCAACTCTCCTTGTCTTCCCTAAACTAAGGTCTGTTTTTCCGTTACAAGTCATTATGTAAAACATTTCAGCCTCAATGCTAAGAAAGTAGTAGGAAAAAAGCTTGCAGTATGAGGGGATAGAGAGGTTCCTGCAATAAATGAAGTTGCAAGGGCTTGACACTCTTAATTTGAAAAGTCTTATAGATAAGGTAATATATAGATAGTTTTGAGTAAAGGGGAGTCATCATGATTTGAGTAGAGAAAAATAAAAAAGATTACAGATTGAGTATCCCTTATTCAAAACCTTGGGACCAGAAGTGTTTCGGAATTTGAATTTTGGAATATTTGCATATATATAATGAGATATCTTTGGAATTAATCCCAAGTCTAAACACAAAATTCATTTGAGTTTTGTATACACCTTATATACATAGCCTGATGGTAAAGTTATCTAATACTGTTAATATTTTTGTGCATTTATCACATGAGATCTGTTGTATAATTTTCACTTGTATTGTGCTGGCACCGTAAAATTTCAAATTTTGTAGCATGTCCGATTTTGGAGCATTTAGATTTTAGACTTTTGTATTAGGGATGCTCAATCTGTACTAGGAAGGTGGGCCAGGTGGGGAAAAGAGTCTATCTTTATTAGAATTAGATTTAGCTGCCAATAGAAATGACCAGATTTAGCAATGATTTGTATTACAAATAATTTATATTTAATATTAAACACTAGTGTGGTGTTTTGTGGCCATCAGGGACCCAGGCTCTTATCATTTATTTCTTCCTTCTAAGAGCATGGTTTCTATTCTCAAAGGTATTACTGCTTGGTCCAAAATGACACTTGAAGCTCTAGTCATCACCTCTTTTTTTAGTCAGGAAGAAGAAAAAGAGGCCAAGGGAAAAGGAGGTTTTCTCCAAGTTAAGTTAATTTTGTTTAAGCGGTTTTCTTAAAATTTCAGTGCAAAACTTCTTATCTTGTTGGCCAGAGCTTGGTCACATGCTCACACCTAGCTGCAAGAGTGGGAGGAACTTCTGGTTCAAAGTGGCAGTGCAGAAGGCAGATGGCTTTACTACTCCATCCCTGAACCTCAACTGAAAGCCAAAAACAAATATGCAGCACAGAGATTATCACCAGTCATATTTCAGAACTCAGATACGAGGAGGAGACAGTTCCTGGGGCCACAAAAAAGTGAAAAACTTGAGCAGATGTCAAGATAATCAGACTTCCATTTCCAAGAAGTTCCATTTCCAATCTGCCCTAAGTATGCCGAAAAATTTCCCCAACTCACAGTTTCCATTCTAGAAAAAGTAAGATCCAGGTAGACAACCAGTCTCCCCAGTATACTGGGTTTCTTGTCAAGAGATCTGTTCCTATCTTAGGTCATGGGAAGCATCAGAACTGCCTGAAGGAAGAAATATCCCTGAGGACAGCAAGAGTTAAAAATGGATGGCGAGACATGACTACTATCCTCAACCCCGGAAACAGCTTTTAACTTGGCCAAAGGAGACACCAATAAGAATGGCTATTCAGCAGCATCACACTGCAGGGTTGTTTCACAGGTGCCCTGGCATGAACCCCTACTCAACCTTTCCAAACTGCTAGGATATCCCCTTTGGGACCTCCCCCATTCAGAATTGAGAGGGGAGGTTTGCTAGAATTGAGACAAACCTGGGCTTGAGGTGCCATGTAGTGTTGAAAAGGAGGCAGCAGCCTAGCAGTTGAAAAAGGAAAGATATCAACAAGGTAAATGACAAAGAATCTCTAGGCAAACATATCCAATAAGAAACAAAATAATCAGCGAAAGAAATAACAGAGAACAATGGGATAAATAAATAATCCTTTAATGCAAAGACATAGACATGCATCCACAAGAAGCAACAGCAAACAGGAACCAAAATCTCCCCAAATGAACAAAGCAAAGAACCAGTGACTAACCCAAATAGAACTGTGAGATGTGAACTCTCTGACAAAGAATTCAAAAATAGCAGTTTTAACAAAACTCAGCGATCTTCAAGTTAACATATGAAGGAATTCAGAAATTTATCAAAGAAATTTTTTTCTTATTTTTCATATTGGATTCAGGGGGTACACATGCGTGTTCATTACATGGACATATTGTGTACTGGTGGGGATTCGTTTCCCAGATGGTAAACAATATGTCACATAGGTAATTCATCAACCTTAGCTTCTCCCTCCTCTCTCCCATTATTAGTGTGCCCAGTGTCTATTATTTCCATCCTTGTGACTGTTTAGCTCGCACATATGAGTGAGAACATGCAGTGTTTGGTTTTCTGTTTCTGAGTCAGTTTACTTAGAATGATGATCTCCATCTCCATCCATGCTGCTGCAAAGAACATGATTTCATTTTTTTTTTTTTGATAGAAAAATTCTTTAATCAAAACAAGTTAACACATTGACTTATGGCTTAACTAGAATCTGTCCAAGTTGAAATTGTATTAAGGACCAAACAGATAATGACTGGTGTATGTATATATACATATACATATATATATATACACATATATGTGTGTATATACATATATATACGTAGATTCTCTCAAAATAGTGAGTCCGTTGTAACAAGACCTCACAAAAGTAAAAATCCAATTATTTAAGTAATTCAAATTTCTTATCTATAGATGAAAACAATTATCCTAGAGGGTCAAACTATACAATGTCACACACAAACAACAAACACTGGTATTAAGCCATTTTCCCATATTCCTATCCTTCTACCTACTGAAAAGTACCAAATGACCTCATATTCAAAATACCTTAGAAATGCTACTCTTTAGTTAATATAACCTTAAATATTTTATGTTAGCACTGGTTTCACCCTGCTGTTGTCTGTGCACATCAACACACAGACTACCAAAGTACTACAGCGGGGTGACTCGTGTCTACTTTTTGCAGTACTCTGGCATGTAGGACTAGAAATGAAAATAAACGTTCCTTGGTAATATAGCCATGTTTTCAAATAGTTTCGTTTCCTTATATAGCATTTACTTATATCTACCACATAAGCAATTATGGGTTGATTTTTTTTTTCCTAATTAAAAAATACTTAGTAGTTCCTTAATGAGTATGACTTTTAAAAATAACTTAGAAAGTGAAGGCATTTCTCAAAAATAAACTTAGTTTTCAGTTTTAGTTGCTCGTGCCTGTAAAGGTTCTTAGATGATTCAACCCTCAAGTCAGATTCATTCTTATATATATACCAAGTCTGTTGTCTGTAGGAAGTCGTATGACTTCACTGAATTCCCCACCACAAAACTAAATTACCTTCAGAAATTAACATGAGTTTTATGTCTCGTAGAATTCTCAGTTCATCCTCAGTGGGATATCTAGTTGTCATAAAAAAAGGCATACAGACCACACTTTCAAAGAAGCAGGATAATGCAGCACAACGCAGACAGTGAAATTAAAATGAACTTTTGATACAAGAAGGAAGTGAGTAGTTGTACAGAAGTAACATTTTATCTAACAAAAAAATGCTCAACTTCCACAAAACCCACAAACAGTGAAAAGACAGTCTGTTAAGTCCAAGATTCGTAAAAACTATGCACAAAACCCACAGTATTTGGGAAGAGAGGAAAAGTTTATACAAGTAGTTTTTAAAATGTAACTTTGTTCTACTGTCAATTACACATTAACATACACACACTAATTGAAAATATGCTACAACCATGTCTGGAAAAGCAGTTTAACATTCTCTAAATGGATTTTGCCCCACATTTACTGTAATAATGGAGTTGTTAATACTGCACGAGTACAATTAGCATTGTTTAATTTTAAACAAAGTTAAGGGTTTTTCTCCCTCAAAACAAGTTTTAAACATCAAAACCTATGCTTATAAAAATTTAAAACTTTCAGCAGTCTAACTATTCCAAACAAAAACCATTATAAGCTTCTCAGGTGTCCTCTATTCCAGATACATCAACCTAGTTATCTGGTGTTGAATCCTTCAGAGACACTTCAGTCTCTCTCTCTTCACTGGATGCCTTTTTCTTAGTGCTGGCCTCATGGCTGTCTTTGCTTTCTTCGTTGCTATCTCCATTATGTTGTGACTGGTTGCTGTCTTGAGTGTCAGATCCTCCATTTGTCTTTGAACCTGTTTGTTCCTTTTCTACCTTTTTGTTTGGCCCCTTTTCCCCTTGATCTTTGGTTTTATTTGCCTCCTCATGCTGTCTTTGTTCAGCAAGAGATTTATTCAACACTTGTGTGATCACGGAATCTCCTTCACTGACCAAAAACATGTTCTTAAACTTGTTATACAACATTGTAGACTTTTCCATGATAACCTGACTAACTTTGAATCGTAGTATTTTTTTCAGTGTAGTAATCATCTCTGTGTGTTTCTGAGCTTGTTGCATTGTGACCTGAAGTGAAGCAAGTTCATCCAAGGCCTCAATGCATCTGTTCACATCAAGATTATCAATTTTGAGTGAATTTTTAATCTCAGCATGTATCCTTTGAAGTTGAGAATCCATTGATGTTTCTCGCTTCTTCTCCACTTTCTTAACTTCTGGCTTCTTTCCTTCATCTTTATTCTGCCTTAATATGTAGTGTGTACCTTACAGGAAATTTTAACAATCATAACACAGTAATAATGCCATTAGTAATGAAGTCCTCAATTTAGAGTCTGGAACATTCTTCCATCAATGGGGGGGAGGGGGGAATTCACTACAATGAGTCTGTCTCAAGATCTTCATCTCTTGTTTGCTCCACTTGTGTTCTCTTTTCAGAAACTGGATTAATGCTTTGAGCCCAAAATGAGATATATTTTTATTACTGTAGATTACATGTTGTTTGGTGCTCAGTTTCCATTTGTTCCTCTTGCTTGCATTTTCGATCTGCTGCATCTTTCTCATGTTGACCTTTCAGCATATTTCTTCTGTGAGCAGTCTGAAAGTTTCTCCCACCTTTTCTCTTCTTTTCGCCTTCTTGATCTTCTCCTTCTTCTTCGGAATCAGAGGTTGATGTAACCCCTGTTTTAGCTAAATTTTTCCTTTTTGAATCGACTTCTTTCTTCCCCTCTTTTTTGTCTGGCTCCTTTCTTGGCTTATCTTCTTCCTTCTGGCCTTCTTCCTTTTTAAGCTGCTTTTTAGGTTGTTTTTCCTCTTGCCCCTTTTTCTTACTTTTGTCTTCTTCAGGAACTTTTTTGCCTCGCCGGTTTTTTTGTCACATAATTATCACTGAGTATGCTTATTTTCAAATGTCCTATGGGCTTCATCCTTTCCTTTGTTTACTTTAGTCCTGAAGGACAGGGTTGTTGTACCATTTTGGGTCTGCCTCTTGGTTTTGGAATCTTGACTTCTGTAGCTGCAGGCCGTCCTCTTTTAGGACTCACTTTTAGATTAACAGATGCCGTTGCTGGTGTCACTACTCCTGCTTCCTCCGTTTCTACTTGCTTTTCTGCCTTTCTCTTTCTCCCTCTTCTGGCAGCTTTTGCAGTGGTTATGTCAACTGCTTTAGTCACATCCTCATTGCTGCCTTTTTCTTCATGGTCAGTATCTTCCTTTGAAACACTAGTTTCTTTTTCTTCAACTTCAACATCAGATGATGCATTTGATTGTTTAGCTGATGCCTGTTGACTTGAAAATTTCACTTTTGGATTGTTATCTATCTCCCATAAACCTTCATTAAAACCTTTTCGTTTATTTGGTTTGCCATACTTTTCCTTATTTTCGGAGTAAGGAAATATATCCTTTGGTCCTAAAAAAGCAGTCTTATGAGTTCCAAAAAAGAAGATGGGTAGTTTGTTTGTGGGTGGCTTTACAGCTCCATCAGGAACTTCATCCACCCGAGCCGGCCAGTGGGGATACCCTTTCATCTTGGCGAAGATGAGGTCTCCGGGCTTGAAATCGCGAGTCATGCTTCGGGGCGAGACCGGGGTCCGGGCCGGGGCGGTCCGGCCCGGGGCGGCAGGCGGGG